GTTTCCCTTACGTAAACTAATACCTTACAGAAAAGACGACTCGTGATTGGCTAACACACACTGCACTTAAAACCTTACGTCATAAACAAGATRAGGTGGTCATTTCCGTAGTGACATTGTCAAGCATTCAACCTAGGCGAAAATAGTCCCATGAGCTYGCCGCACAACTACAAACAAACAGTGACAATTATCACATAGTTATCACATCGGTTGACTCTCAATATACAATGATATAAAGACTAATGCTGGTGGGTTTCAAAATACAATGTTTGTAAATGGAGATAACAGACTTCGTTATAGACTTGCTATTAGAGCAATTATAAGATCTCTTTGTGGCACCGCRAACTGACTTTCAAAGGATGTTTTGGAAAAGTCACTCCAAGAGGTTTTGTGTTGTAGGTGGGGGAATCCATCCTTGCAAACAATAGCTTTACAAAAACCTTTTTACATAGAGTTCCAATATCGATGAGCCGCCATCTTGAAGTATAGAAAAGGGGGCTCAAGTTTAAGCCTGYGAATGCATCGGTTTAATTTGCATTAAAWAAAGATTGTGGTAGAAGAGGTTGAAATCTATACCATTTTTGTTTCATCAGATGTGTCCCGGACACATTTTTAATGTTGTACAATTACACAATARAGTGTCCTAAAATCTGTGGAGTATAAATGTTCTGATAAGGCCTTCGTTCAGGAATCCCATAACTTAAAAAAAACAAACACTCAAATTCAAGATGGCCGCCGCTCTAACAATAAAACACATCATAAGAAATAACAATATAGAAATAGAAATAGAAATACTAACAGAATATTTTAAAGGTTACATATCGRTGAATTATTTTTCTAAGGATCCAGGAGAATCGCAAATGACAAACGGTTCTAGATTTTCAAGACATCAGCTTAGCCCCATATCATTTTAAAGAGAATAATTAAAAAGTAAACAGGGCTCTTTGTGATAAACAGGACAGTTTTTAAACTGSGCAATGGATCACTAGCGTCTAGTTTAATTTAACCTCTGTTCATGGTCCAAAAACAGGCATTTTATATTYCGTGCGTACTCGAACATGTCATAGAAAGAAATCAWACAGCTTGGAAGTAATCCACAGAAGAGCTTTCAAATATCACACAAACAAATATTGACAAAGAAGTGCCTTTCGTAGTGTATTGCTTTTCCACTAACTCACTTATCTTGTTTTTTGTTGGCTTTATATTTGCCGAATGTTGAAAAAATCACTTAAACTATGAGAAAACACAGAGCTTTTACAGTGTGAATACGCCCGATATGAAATCAGTGGTTAGAGCGGATTTCGTATGACTGTGAAAAAAACACGGTACGTTCGTGCTGTGTCCGTACCGTGCCGTAGCCTTGATGCATTGCAAAATCTTTACTTTCCTTTGAAATCCTAGAAGGCGAGGTTCCGTGACCGTGCCGTGCCGTGTCCGTGTTGTGATCCGCTCTATAAATAGAACCCAATACATAAATCGACAGAAAATACGTCCAAAGTGACATCCAAATAGCGAAATAATTAAGTGAGATACTAAAAGAAATGGATACAAATTGTCTGATACGTGATAACGCAATTAGTAAGAAAAACATTTTGATTGTGAACATTACTAGTTCATTAAAACATCGTAAAGTTTTTCAGTTCATAAAATGAATTCAATTTCAATATTGTATATCACAAAATGGTTATTGCAGCCAGAATCGGTAAAATTTCGATAAAATGAGTTTATGAATTGAAATCGATTGCTGTGATAGTTTGAARTACTGAAAAATCGGGAAATTTTCAGTGRCKTKAATTTGGAACATAAATTTAGCACAAAGGTGAAGTCACTGATCATAGAAAAATGGCGCCAAAATAGACATRAAGTCTTTTCAAATAAGATAGGCCAAAATCATTACATTATGGTTCTTGGGCATTGATTTAAACCATTTCACGAGCTTTTAAGATTGAAGTTTGAGATTAYGTACGYATAATGTCGTATTTTATTTTGAAAATTTTATARTTYAAASAGATTTAAAAATTCATTTCCTTCTWCGTTTGTTGCYTCCAAGAAGAAAAGATTAGATTGCGTGTTTTCAGACAGATTTTCTGATAATTTCAAACACTGTTTCCGCTACAAGGAGCTGTTTCTGCTGTCGTGAGCCAGTTGGTCAATTAGCAGGATGGTTTCCTTTGACTCTCGTCCCTATGAAAATCAGAGCAACCTGCCCCATGGAATACAGCGAGTGTCTTTCTGCACAATGGATTTGCAACTTAAAGCACAGTATATAGGGCTTGTTTGCATTGCATTAGAATATTATGCAAATGCAAAGTGCACGAGTTGCAAAAATGGTCTAATAATAGTTATAATAATAGTTATACTGACCAAATAAAAAAAAATGCAGACTTTTTTATCGATATTAGTGTGTATTTATTTAAAAAAATGGTTTTATTATCAGAACAAAAAAGACACAAACAGAGACCCATCAGAAACAAGGCAAAAGCAAAGTTTTACATGTAATAATATGTACAATTCTTTGACAATGACATTGTCTAGTAGTTACTGTATTTATAGAGCAGTTGAATCGAGGGCATTTTGCTGTGATAGTTGCCCTTGGAAACTGGGTGTTCCGAAAACAAATAGTCACTTTAGAACGACTACGAAGTTTCGAGGAACATCCAGTTTCCAATGGCAACTATCACAGCATAATGTCTGAGATTTCAACTGCTATATTGTTTTTATCATTCAACGACATAATTTTCTGAAGTGGCGGTCTCTATGCACTGATAGTACCCCTTGTGGCGGACACTATCTTATCACGTGGTCGACTCTCGACCAATGAGAGCGGAGGAAAATTTGTTGTTGAATTTTAATTTATAAGTTTTTCTTCCTTTTTTCACCTTCGACTCAGACCAATAAAATAGAACTTATTACTAACCCTTAAATCAAACCTTACTTCAGTCTTTTYCCCTGAATATTTCTTTTACTATTCACATTTATAATGCTGACTTCTTGTTCAAACATCGCCTTCCTTACGAGCCGAACCAACTAGAAAACTCATTGCAACGTTGTCTAATCTCGAATAGAAATGGTCGAATGCGATCTGGACGACTTGGAGGACTTATAGAAGAAGAGACAGCATATACAAAACATTGTAAATGCGCAATTAGTTTACAGTATATATGAATAAAAATTGCAATTTCTTTGAGCTTTGAATGACCTTTTCCCTATATGTTGCTTCTGCAGAACAAAAGTGAAGCGAAGCGGCGAAGAACAGAGATATTTTCACAGAGAATAACACAGAGAAACCTCTGTGGAACCAGGGTAGTGAGGCTTTGGTTATTAGGTCACAACATTTTCTCGTGTTCACATTAGATGTAGAAAATTGCTTTGCAAGTAATAGCGTTACGCTTTGATAATCATATTTTGGCTGCAAAGTGTTTACAACAAACTCACATGTCTTCGCATGTTTGTTAGAGTCTATACACCTAATTGAAGAAACGTTGTCGGGTCCAAAAAGGTCTAATCATAGAAGCTAAGACCGAAAAGGTACTTGGGAAGACAAACAATTTGGCTAATTTCATACAAACAGCTCTCCAGCATAAAAGACTAGCATGCTCTTAATCTTACTAGGTCTAGTTGCTTTACCGTACACCATGTTAAACACCGTATATGCAAATGTAATCCCAATTTAGTGGTGCTCAAAATCCCTTTCGGTCTTAGCTTCTATGATGTGACCTTTTCGAACACGACTACGTTTTTTCAATTAGGTGTATTTGTCGAATGCTATTTAGGCATTGYATCCACAGTTTCCATAACGATTTATCTTTAGACATTTTATTTCTCTTGACTCCTTCGGCGWTAATTCCTGAATAGGCAAGACAAAGTCGACTACTACTCTTCCCTTTGATCCTTTGCCTGTTCAGCAATTTTCTAGTTCTATTATGAACACGTGGAAATGTTACGACCTAGCCAAAGCCTCACTTTGGTTCTGAAAATCAACATCTTGGGAAAAGGTCATTATGACTTGATTTAAAATTTTGTCTCCTTCCACTAATAATCATTTAAAATTATTAGGAAAAGACGATAGTTTTAGCTCATTTTTACCATGAAAATTAGTAGTTTTACCAACTACCTTACTATATATTATTCATTATTTAAACTTATAATTGAATTCAAAAAAGTGTTCGTCAGTTATATTCTCTACATTAAATTCATGACCAACTTTTGCCGTTATTTTGAATCACCTTGATTTGTTATATTTGAGCTGCAGTTAAAAGATTTTCACAGATTTTCTTGTAGGCCCAAGTGTCTCCTTTCATCCGCTTTCTTCTGATACCTGTGGTACAACAACAATATAAAACTTTATCACTGCATTGCCGCCATTACACCCGATTTCAAATGAGTGCGAACTCTCGAATTTTTTTTTGAACGCTAAACTTTCACTCGACCGTCATTCACTCGACCGCTTGGTAGCCAGGCACACGTGTTTTGTAAGTGATGCGTGACTTTCTGTAGCGGGACTTTCGCATTTAGAATTATGGAGGAAGAAGCGGTGGTCTTTGTTCGAGATATCTGTGGTCCTTGTGTTTCACAGAACATTCTACTTCACTCAATGCAATTGAGAACAATTAGAAGAATATCAACTAAACTTGATTAAAAAATATAATTTTCTATCTGATTTGTAGTTTAAATTTGGCTTTATTAACTTGTAAACATCAAATGCATGCAAATAATACTTTGCACATGAACTTGAGGGTGTTGTTTTCTGCATCTTGAAAAGATATTCTTATGTTGAACTAAAATACACATTTTTTCTTATTTTCTTTCGTTATGTAAACAATTTAAGTTTACAATAAAAAAATTATCAAGCAAGCGAAAAAATAATTGCAACACTGTTGTTTAAATTAAAGGTTGAAAGCGAAGTAACTTATGTTTAAATGTAACCTTCTTTCGAAGAAGTAAAT